GGTTATGTCTGTCCTCTAGAATAATGGATGATAGGACACATACAGTGCAATTACGCATTTTTTAAATGTCTTCGAGTAATCTAGTTTCCTTGTTGAGAATCGAACCCGGGACTTCTTGAATAGAAATCCATATCCTAGTCCCTTGAGCACTGAGGTAAATGAGGAGGATAATGAAATGTGTGCGCTGACCCATGGTGGGTTTTGGAGGGGGTAAAACGGGGTAATATGCGCAGTATTTTCCCTCTGTCTGAGTAACATCAGTAGATATTTAACTTTCCCTTCATTTACAACTTCTGTGGCTCAGTGGACTAAGCTGTGGATTTCTACTCTAGAGGTCACAGGTTCGAGTCCCGACAAGAAGGTAGATTAGTGGAAGACAACGACGATATTTTTAATTATGATTTCAAAAATAGTAATAATGCAATAATAAAGTTTTATTTAGATTATGAGTCATGTTTAAATAAACAAAAGAATAACAAAAACCAGTTTAAAGTTAACCATGAAATAAAATAAAAAAAATATCTCACTAAGAGGGATAAATGGAAGCGGAAAGATATGGAGAACTCAGGGATGAAGACCAAGAGTAAAACTTGTACAGAGTCATTTGTTTTACGTATTTGGTTAAAGAAAAATGTTTATAAATAATTGACATTAATAAGAAAAGAATATAGTACTTTCTATAAAGCTTAAAAGAGCCTAAACAATATGACCAAAAGATGTTAATTGTTCATATTTACTACATTACGATCTTTCTTTACCACTTTCCATTCCTATAAATGATCCGACTTACAACTAGCTCATAAGTAGGTCTGCTCTCTCTCTCCTCTCTCTCTCTCTCTCTCTCTCTCTCTCTCTCTCTCTCTCTCTCTCTCTCTCTCTCTCTCTCTCTCTCTCTCTCTCTCTCTCTCTCTCTCCATACACACAGATATATATATATATATATATATATATATATAATATATATATATATGTGTGTGTGTGTGTGTGTGTGTGTGTGTGTGTGTGTGTGTGTGTGTGTGTGTGTGTGTGTGTGTGTTACAGTTGAAACCCGGTTATCAGTCAGAGCTGGAGTAGTCTTCTGTACCCTAAAATAACCTATATCTATATATATATATATATATATATATATATATATATATATATATACTATATATATATATATATATATATATGTATAAATGCTTCCACTGACCCATTTCAAATCTATAATCTGTATACTCGTTTTCGTTCCAAAGGTGGGGCCTGTTCCTACTACAACACTAACACACCAATTGCGAGGCTCATGGACCTTGAATCTCCTGACTTTGATGTTCTCTGGCTAAAACTCTATCTCTTCACTACCACTATTTTCCTTTGCTTCTGCTACTGTTCTCCAAACTCCACCGAGTTTGTGTCTTTCTCTGAATATATATCCTTGTGCCATGAGTCCTTCCTATCTTCTCACCCACATGTCGAAGTTCTCTACATTGGAGACTTCAATGTACACCACAGTGAGTGGCTTCATTCTTCTCACACTGATGTGGGAGGAAGTGAGGCCCTTGCTTTCTCCATTACTCACGATCTGGAGCAAATTATCAATCATCCTACACGTGTTCCTGATCGTCACGAACATGCAGCAAACACTCTTGACCTATTTCTTATTTTTAACCCTTCAAACTACCCTCATTCTGTGCTTTCCTCTCTTGGCAAATCTAACCACTCTATGATCTCAATCTCTTTCATTTTCGCTCCCCCTCCACCAACCCCTCCTACTCAGCGCCGCCTTTGGCACTTTGAGCATACCCAACCTGCTAATTTGTGTAACTTCCTCTTTGGCTTCCCTTGGGATGACTACTGTTTTCGGTCCCGCAACTCTGACCAGGTAGCTCTAAAGGTTGCCGAGATCATGACCGCGGGCAGAGACATACATCCCTTTTTCTACAAAAACTTTCTCTCCCCCTAAACCTTGGATTGACCGTGCCTGCTCCATGGCTATCGAGGCCAGGAATCGGGCATTCCAATCTTACCAAGCCTCTCCTTCCAATTCAACTCGCTCTGCTTTTATTGTAGCTAGGAATCACTGTACTGCTCAGATTCGAAGGTCTAAGGCTTCCTTTATAAGAAGGAAAGTTGATGACCTTAACTCCTCTCCCACTGACAAATGCTTCTGGTCCTTAGCTAAAAACCTCTCCAAAAACTCCTGTAACTCAAACTTTCCCCCTCTCATCCGTTCTGATGGTTCTATAGCTTGCTCTCCCACTGACAAAGCCACTCTCTTGGGTTCTCATTTTCTGCCAACTCTTTTATAAACGATTCCAGCGCACATGTTCCTCAATCTTTAACACTCTCTAACCCTATGCCCTCCCCTATCCTTTCTTCTCACAAAGTTCATAAGGCTCTTTGCTCACTAAAGACAAACAAGGCATCTGGTCCCAATGGTATCCCTGCAAGGTTCCTTAAGGAGTTTGCAGATGAACTGGCTCCTGTGCTTTGCCGTCTTTTTCGCCTCATTCTGTCAACCAGTATCTATCCTTCATCTTGGAAGCATGTTCAAGTTCAACCTGTTCCTAGGAAGGGTGACCATTCTTTTCCTTCAAACTACCGACCTATTGCTTTAATCTCCTCTATTGCTAAAGTTTTCGAAACTTTGATTAATGCTCACTTCTTGAAATGCCTTAAATCTAACTCACTTATCTCTGATCACCAGTTCGGCTTCCGCAAGGCAAGATCCACTGGTGACCTCCTGTTATATCTTACTCATGTATGGTCATCTTCTCTGAGGAACTATGGGGAATCCTTTGTCGTCGCCCTTGATATCTCTAAGGCTTTTGACTGAGTCTGGTACAAGGCTCTGTTGGCCAAACTCCCTGCCTATGGCTTTACTCCTTCTTTCTCTTCTCTGATTTCCAGTTTACTTACTGACCGTTTTATATCTGTAGTTATTGATGGTGCGACATCTAGCCCTTCTCTATTACTAGTAGTGTTCAACAGGACTCTGTGCTTTTACCTATTCTGTTCCTTCTCTTCATCAATGATCACCTTTTTCTTTTCCTTCGTCTTGGTATTTTCTCGTGCCCGGGCCTTTATTGATGAGGGCAGTTTTTGCCTGTCCTGGTGTCACACTCATAAAAAAAAAAAAAAAAAAAATAAATAAAAAAAAATATATATATATATATATATATATATATATATATATATATATATATATATATATATATATATATAGATTGATAGATAGATAGATAGATATATAGATAGATAAATCTTAATTCCCACCAGTTATTCTCATGTTAATATGCAGTTGTTATTTCACCCTATCCTCTTTATACTAGTTTTAATTTAGGTTCAGAGTTTAACGGCCGGGGACCCTTCTTATGAGCAACCAGGCCTGCTACCCCTCCCCAGTGGCAGTATATATATATATATATATATATATATATATATATATATATATATATATATATATATATATATATATATATATATATATATATATAAACTCATGATATGCCCATGTTTTAAAAAAGAAAACAATGCTGCCAATGAAGTTGGGATGATATTTTTACCCCTTATTAGTGAGATGATGTCACTTTGAATATTCTGTCTGGGGGAAATGCCTTGTGGAATTAAAAGAGAGAGCTCTAATGAACTGTCATTACGGGTCGTTGGTTCACAAGGTAACTTCGTCTCCAAAGTAAGTTCTGATGCCTTAGATAATGAAAAAAAAGAAAAAGATCAGGAAAAAAAATCGCTAGGAAATTATTTAATTGAAATTTCTGGTGTTTTTTTATTGGTCATAAGTTATTTCCGCTCAGCATAATGATAATGACTTGTAAACTTATTGATTTATAAGTTATTTCATCATTCCTGGGACTTAAGAGGAATTAATAGTACCTTTTTATATTTTGCTCACTTGATTTTGGAGACCCTAAAGTGGGATCTCCCTTCTTAAGGAAGAATAAATATTATGACGCTTTTCTTATGACATCCACTTCGTAGGAGGTTACTGAAAGGGAGAATGAAGAAACGCTGACATGACAATATTTACTTTCATTCTAAAGTTACTTCTTTCCATAAATTGTCATGAAAAATGTGAGACTGAAAGGGGCATCTGAGCTCTCTCCCTCCAATATTAGCCTTCTTGCTAGTCACTGCTAGAAAAATAAGACTGATATGGCTAGATACATAGATAGATAGATAGATAGATAGATAGATAGATAGATAGATAGATAGATAGATAGATAGATATATTGACAATTAGATAGATAGATAAATTGACAAATAGATAGATAGATAGATATATTGACAAATAGATAGATAGATAGATTGACAAATAGATAGATATATAGATTGACAAATAGATGGATAAATAGATAGATAGATAGATAAAGAGAGAAAAAATTGTTTTACCCTCTTCTGAAGATCATATCCGGCAGTAATATCGCTTTTGAGAATGTGAATAGAATTTTTTTTTTCTCTTTTAAAAGGCGGGGAAAGAGAAGTCAAAGGAGGATAAAAAATAATGGGAGGAAGTGGAGAAGTGCATTTTTTTAAGGTGGGAAGAGGAGGAGGATCAGGAGGAGGAGGGGATATATATATATATATATATATATATATATATATATATATATATATATATATATATATATATATATATATATATATAATATATATATATATATATATATATATATATATATATATATATATATATATAAGACTTTTTGGAGTAGCTGAAAAAAGAAATGGAGGTGGTTTTGTAGAGAACAGAGAGCGCTAGTGCATATATATATATATATATATATATATATATATATATATATATATATATATATATATATATATTTATATATATATATATATACATATATATATATATATATATATATATATATATATATATATATATATATATATATATATATATATATATATATATATAGTCTGCGTTTGTGCTTGCAGACTATATGTTGAAAATTGTATAATTGAGGATTTAATGGAATTCATTTACATTTTTGGGACCTCCGTAATAAATATCCTTAAAGACAGTGATATTACTGACATTTCTGGTAATTTACACAGTACATATTGAGCAATTTTGCTTTTTTTTTCTCTTTTTAGCGATTTTTGGAAGAGATGAGGAATTATGTATAGTTTTGTAGATTCTTATTAAAAAGTTCTAATATATTTCTGCAATTATCAAATTCTATTTGGTTGCCTTTTAAGACAGAAACTATTGCTAATTCATCAAACCAATAAATAGATGGTGCTTTAAATACCTTTGGTTTAGATAAAAACTAGCATCTACTCACGCACGCACACATAGGCACACACAACACACACACATGTACACACACGTGTTATATCTTCTTATTACAATAAAA